GGGGGGGGGGGGGGGGGGGGGGGGGGGTAGGGATGATAGAGAGGGGTTTGGAGAGAGGGTCTGAAAATGTCGTGGGTCACGCGTGATAAACGCGTGATATATATCGAAGAACATTACCAAATATGTGTTGTTGTCTTTGACACTGAATAACGTGGCTTATGGACGCCTTCGAAAAGTTTGACAAGAATAAAGATGGTTCGCTTGGACTGAAAGAAATTCAGAGATTGGTGGAAGCATTGAATGTGAGCATGAGTCCTAGCCAAGTGAAAAAGAAGTTTAAGGTAAGCAAGGAGAAACGGTGTTGCAATTACTTTGAATACCCCTGATTTGGTTCATTCCCTTCTTTTGTTGGTTTTACTCGACAAAGGGATATATAATTGCCTGGGAGTCTCGATCAAAATGATTTCTGGAAAGAAAGTTCCGTTTCCAGCGGTTAAGGGCCTATTTTAAGTACAAGACAAAAATACAGCTGGCTTGCTTTAAGGCGCATCACTTCACATGATTATTCCTTATGCACTTATACCCAGACCTAAGTCATTCGACCACTGCTCGAAAACCACAAGGATAATCCATTTAACCCCTTTTAATTCCTCAAAAGTTCTGGAGCTTATTTCAATTCAGGATGCGATCTGAAACAAGGAGGAGCGCTTAATCAACTTAGGTTGTTCATTCGGGGCTGTTCGGCTAGTGAAGTCTGACTGACTGACCAATCAATACATCGTTAGCATGGCGATTATTTGGTCTTTGTGCTGAGATGCCTAAGGGATTAATTGTTCTTCACAGGAAACTCATGAAACTTAGCTACGGTCCTGGACAAAAGTTTATTTGGACGATGATGCAATATTCGCAATTATCTTGGCATGGACTTCTGGATGCCCTCATAAAACAGGACCATCTTTTGCAAAGTACTTCGCAGTTCTCCCTCCTTCCAACTTTTAAAATGTTATACTCAGAAAAATTCTGGATACACTCGTCCAACGTTGTTTTTGAGGTGGGGGAGGGGTTGGGCATGTGTGATTTGACAAAAAAAAATACAAATTTGTCCCAAGTCTTTTGCCCGTGATTGTAGGCGGACTGCGTTAGTCTATCGTTCTTTCTACATTAATCCTTTATCGCAAGGCTGGACAACAGACCGGCTAGATTGACTAAGGATGTCAATCGAAAGCGCATTCAAATTTTACTTATTAAAAAAAAATCTTATTTTATTAGGAAGTAAATACTGATGGTGACGCAGCACTTGACAAGGACGAGTTTGCATCGTTTTTCAAGTCCATTTCCACAAGAGAAGAAATTGTCAACCTTCTGAAGAAATTTTCATCTAATGGCGCACACATGACTGCAGAGGACTTTCATTACTTTCTGGTCAACGAGCAAGGGGTAAGTTAGCAGATTCGGCCTGTAGATTGCTGGTTTTTACGGGTCACAAAGCAAACAGTCATTTCTCCAGACGGTCAGTCGGTCTGTCAGCAAGTCCAAAGGTCAGTTCGTAGAATCTAGTCGTTGGTCCGCGAGGTAGTTGTCGAGCTGTTTGATTCAACAAACGGCGGTTTTACTATGCAACGTTATTCCAATTGTTCTATTTCATTTGATTTGTCTTTTGTTTGGGTTCGCGTATACCTTTTTTACCCATCCGTTAGCCTGCGTAGCTGGAAGGATTGTGATGCCCGGGGTAATTTCTACGCAAAGAACAGAAAGAAGTGGCGAATCCGTGAGGGATGTTCGCGCGCTCCTTTGAGAACCTACTCGCAAAGTTTAAGAATTTGTTTCTTTCAGATGGAAGACGTTAGCAAGGAACACTCTTTGGAAATGATCTTAAACCATGAACCAACAGAGACAGGAAGAAAGAATAGAGAATTAGGAATAGATGGTCAGTGCTTTGGGTTTTTTTGCCAAATCTTTGCTCGCTAGAGTGCTTGTGCGGCCTGGGATTGAAAAGCGAGTGTTTGCATATATTCGTTTCATTTAATAGACAGGCGAGTGGTATCATCCCTTGTTAACACGCATGTCAGAGTGCAAGTGGATTCCTTTTGCCTCAATCCCTTCTCACCAAACCAGAATGATGCCGTCTCTCTTATCATTAGTGGAAAACAAGTACAAGATTTTTACATCTTATGCCATCTCACTTTTATATAAGAAAAGCGCGACAAAAATCCCTTTTCCTCACCTTGGGAAAGGCAAATTGGTTTGAATTATCGGGAGGTTTCAAACATCGAGTGTAAAATTGCACCGTTTGCTTGTCAAAGAAAAGTTAAGTTTGGCTCGAATCATCGGGAATTTCGAAAAACCGAGGATTAGAGAAATGGTGATTCCACTATATTTGTCAGTGCAGACTCTTGTAGAGTTAGCTCAAAAACTCTTGTGCGCATGTTTCTTGTTTTTCGTCCGTTTTAGTTTGATAATGGTAAACATATTCCCTATACTTTTACCAATTTTAAAATTGTTTTTTCATCGCAGGCTTGGCAAACTACCTTAAATCACCCGAAGGTGACATTTTTAACCACGACCACGACAAAATTTATCAAGACATGACTCATCCGTTGACACATTACTACGTAGCCTCATCCCATAACACCTATCTTCTGCAAGACCAACTTCGCGGCCCTTCCAGCGTGGACGCCTACATCAATGCACTGAGGAAGGGATGCCGTTGTGTTGAGCTTGACTGCTGGGATGGTGATAATGGTGAGCCCATTGTATACCACGGACACACACTCACATCGAAAATCCTTTTCAAAGATGTCATACAAGGAATCAGTAAACACGCTTTTGAAGTTTCGGAGTAAGTTGTCATTTTGTATGTGTGTATTTTTAGAAACTTTGAGCCTGTGGAAGAACTCTTAGGGCGGCCAAAGTCGGGCATTTATAATTCTTTTCTTTATTCATCTAAATTATAATAAAATTATTTAACAATCAATGAATGAGGCTGAGTATCTAATGAAGAATTATGGAGATCGAGGAGGGTGTTATCCGTCGAGGCCGTAGGCCAAGGCGGATAACACCTACCGAGATCTCCATAATTCTTCATATGATACGAAAGCCGAATTCAAGAATTGTTTTATCATTCATTCAAAATAATTCCTAATTTAAAAACACAGCTAAAACAAGCTTACCTGCATCGATTTTAAGTTTATCTTCGATAGTTTACGTTTAGGTTTGTCCAGCTCCGCAAATATTCTCCAAATTGCAGATGTCACACTCCAAGTTGTCTTCTTGCTGTTTTTGCTATGTTTTTAGCCATTATTTCGCCTAGTTCCAGCTGTAGTTATTACTCTTGAAACGAGTGAAGTGTCCGCCATTTTAGTTTTTACAGCGAAAACAACTCAATCTCGTCCCCAGGTCTTCTCGGTTAACGATGCATTAACCTGTAGAAGGCTGCATTTTTGACGTCATTTCCTCGTTAAACACAAAAATTCTTCCAAATTTGGTCATCAGTAACTGGTTATGGTGAATTATGCGTGTACCTTTAGCCAATCAGAATTGGGTAAATATTTTGAATGAATAATAATATTAATTATTATTAAGTCTCAAGCTATGTTCACACTAAAATGTGATAGCCTTTTTTCATTTTCGAAAACCGTATCGGAGAGGTATTTTGCTCACCAATGAATTTCTTCTTCTTCTTCAATTACTTGGCTCCATCTATAAAGATGATTCTTCATTCATTTCGTCCTTACGCATGCTTCTAGCGGAAGACCTGGTAACACCGCTGCGCACTGAACCTTTACCTCTACTTCCCGTACTGCAATAAGCGAGGTCACAATAGTGTGTGCAACCCTGGGGCCGTTTTGTAACGTGGCTGTTCACATTTTATCAGATCGATTTCTACGCCGCCAAAAAAACTGTTCCGGCCTCGGTGTTTGGTTATTTTATCGCCTGTCCGGGTATCCAGTAAAGGACTTCTTCTCGTTTTTGATATGCTACTTTTCGGTGTTTAGGTATAAGATAAAACACTCCTTCTCGAGTTTGATAGGTTACTTACTTACCTGGACAATTGATGCAACAGTCGATCCTTCCCGTGTTTGATATGTTATTTATTTGCCTGGAAAACTTATGAAACACTTCTTCAGTTCTCGTGTCTGATATGTTATTTCTCGGTGCCTGGATATCTGATGAAACACTCCTTCTTGTTCTTGATAGATTAAATATCGGTGCCTAGATACCTGATGATACACTCCTTCTCGTATCTGATATGATATTTCTCGGTGCATAGACATGTGATAAAACACTCCCTCTCGGGTTTGATATGTTAGTTATCGGTGTCTGGGCCATCAGATGAAATACTCCTTCTCTTGTTTGATAAGTTACTTATTGGTGCCTGCATATCTGATGAAACACTCCATCAAGTGAAGAGCAATTGTAACACTCAGATTTTCACTGTTTTGTAGGTATCCAGTTATTCTTTCCCTGGAGAACCACTGCAGTCTCCCAAATCAAAAGAAAATGGCAGAATATCTCGAAGCAATTTTGGGCGGTATCCTTTGTCGACTTGCAATATGTTGTACGCTTAATCATTGCATTCTTATAGATTTTTAAGTAAGTAAATCATTAATAAAAAGAGAATTGAAATAATTTGGATAATCTAAAAGAGGTGTTGGACGAGTGTATAGTAAAGCAGGTGAAGAACGAGTCTATACCAGTAGCACAGCAAGCACCCTCGAAAGATTGAATATATAAAATATTAACTATGAGGTCAATATTCTAGGGAATAATTATAACTTAGCCCCAGGACCCCACGCCGTTTCGTCGGCTGGGTGTTGACTGAATTTTTCTTGTAATCTGATCATTCGTCTCGCTGAGTCAGTCGATTACTGTTTTCACACCCTCCCTCCCACCCTGGGGGCTTCCCTTGAGTCCTCAGGGTCTCGGTTCCTTCTTTAAAGACGCCCAAGCAGATTCACTGGCTTGTTGTTTGCTGTCGTGCGCGGGGAACACGAGGGATAATTAATCAGATAAATAGAAGTTATATGTCGAATGAATGTGTAAACGAAAAGTTTGATTGATTATAAAGAAGGCAGGATGTTGTTCCTTGATTCAGATATCGCCTAGATTGATTGTAGGCGGACTGCGTTAGTCTATCGTTCTTTCTACATTCATCCTTTATCGCAAGGCTGGACAACAGACCGGCTAGATTGACTAAGGATGTCAATCCAAACCGCATTCAAATTTTACTTATTAAAAAAATCTTCTTTTATTAGGAAGTAAATACTGATGGTGACGCAGCACTTGACAAGGACGAGTTTGCATCGTTTTTCAAGTCCATTTCCACAAGAGAAGAAATTGTCAACCTTCTGAAGAAGTTTTCATCTAATGGCGCACACATGACTGCAGAGGACTTTCATTACTTTCTGGTCAACGAGCAAGGGGTAAGTTAGCAGATTGCTGGGCAAACTCTTAGGTAGATTCGGCCTGTGGATTGCTGGTTTTTGCGGGTCACAAAGTAAACAGTCATTTCTCCAGACGGTCAGTCGGTCTGTCAGCAAGTCCAAAGGTCAGTTCGTAGTATCTAGTCGTTGGTCCGCGAGGCAGTTGTCGAGTTGTTTGATTCAACATACGGCGGTTTTACTATGCAACGTTATTCCAATTGTTCTATTTCATTTGATTTGTCTTTTGTTTGGGTTCGCGTATACCTTTTTTACCCATCCGTTAGCCTGCGTAGCTGGAAGGATTGTGATGCCCGGGGTAATTTCTACGCAAAGAACAGAAAGAAGTGGCGAATCCGTGAGGGATGTTCGCGCGCTCCTTTGAGAACCTACTCGCAAAGTTTAAGAATTTGTTTCTTTCAGATGGAAGACGTTAGCAAGGAACACTCTTTGGAAATGATCTTAAACCATGAACCAACAGAGACAGGAAGAAAGAATAGAGAATTAGGAATAGATGGTCAGTGCTTTGGGTTTTTTTGCCAAATCTTTGCTCGCTAGAGTGCTTGTGCGGCCTGGGATTGAAAAGCGAGTGTTTGCATATATTCGTTTCATTTAATAGACAGGCGAGTGGTATCATCCCTTGTTAACACGCATGTCAGAGTGCAAGTGGATTCCTTTTGCCTCAATCCCTTCTCACCAAACCAGAATGATGCCGTCTCTCTTATCATTAGTGGAAAACAAGTACAAGATTTTTACATCTTATGCCATCTCACTTTTATATAAGAAAAGCGCGACAAAAATCCCTTTTCCTCACCTTGGGAAAGGCAAATTGGTTTGAATTATCGGGAGGTTTCAAACATCGAGTGTAAAATTGCACCGTTTGCTTGTCAAAGAAAAGTTAAGTTTGGCTCGAATCATCGGGAATTTCGAAAAACCGAGGATTAGAGAAATGGTGATTCCACTATATTTGTCAGTGCAGACTCTTGTAGAGTTAGCTCAAAAACTCTTGTGCGCATGTTTCTTGTTTTTCGTCCGTTTTAGTTTGATAATGGTAAACATATTCCCTATACTTTTACCAATTTTAAAATTGTTTTTTCATCGCAGGCTTGGCAAACTACCTTAAATCACCCGAAGGTGACATTTTTAACCACGACCACGACAAAATTTATCAAGACATGACTCATCCGTTGACACATTACTACGTAGCCTCATCCCATAACACCTATCTGCTGCAAGACCAACTTCGCGGCCCTTCCAGCGTGGACGCCTACATCAATGCACTGAGGAAGGGATGCCGTTGTGTTGAGCTTGACTGCTGGGATGGTGATAATGGTGAGCCCATTGTATACCACGGACACACACTCACATCGAAAATCCTTTTCAAAGATGTCATACAAGGAATCAGTAAACACGCTTTTGAAGTTTCGGAGTAAGTTGTCATTTTGTATGTGTGTATTTTTAGAAACTTTGAGCCTGTGGAAGAACTCTTAGGGCGGCCAAAGTCGGGCATTTATAATTCTTTTCTTTATTCATCTAAATTATAATAAAATTATTTAACAATCAATGAATGAGGCTGAGTATCTAATGAAGAATTATGGAGATCGAGGAGGGTGTTATCCGTCGAGGCCGTAGGCCAAGGCGGATAACACCTACCGAGATCTCCATAATTCTTCATATGATACGAAAGCCGAATTCAAGAATTGTTTTATCATTCATTCAAAATAATTCCTAATTTAAAAACACAGCTAAAACAAGCTTACCTGCATCGATTTTAAGTTTATCTTCGATAGTTTACGTTTAGGTTTGTCCAGCTCCGCAAATATTCTCCAAATTGCAGATGTCACACTCCAAGTTGTCTTCTTGCTGTTTTTGCTATGTTTTTAGCCATTATTTCGCCTAGTTCCAGCTGTAGTTATTACTCTTGAAACGAGTGAAGTGTCCGCCATTTTAGTTTTTACAGCGAAAACAACTCAATCTCGTCCCCAGGTCTTCTCGGTTAACGATGCATTAACCTGTAGAAGGCTGCATTTTTGACGTCATTTCCTCGTTAAACACAAAAATTCTTCCAAATTTGGTCATCAGTAACTGGTTATGGTGAATTATGCGTGTACCTTTAGCCAATCAGAATTGGGTAAATATTTTGAATGAATAATAATATTAATTATTATTAAGTCTCAAGCTATGTTCACACTAAAATGTGATAGCCTTTTTTCATTTTCGAAAACCGTATCGGAGAGGTATTTTGCTCACCAATGAATTTCTTCTTCTTCTTCAATTACTTGGCTCCATCTATAAAGATGATTCTTCATTCATTTCGTCCTTACGCATGCTTCTAGCGGAAGACCTGGTAACACCGCTGCGCACTGAACCTTTACCTCTACTTTCCGTACTGCAATAAGCGAGGTCACAATAGTGTGTGCAACCCTGGGGCCGTTTTGTAACGTGCCTGTTCACATTTTATCAGATCGATTTCTACGCCGCCAAAAAAACTGTTCCGGCCTCGGTGTTTGGTTATTTTATCGCCTGTCCGGGTATCCAGTAAAGAACTTCTTCTCGTTTTTGATATACTACTTTTCGGTGTTTAGGTATAAGATAAAATACTCCTTCTCGAGTTTGATAGGTTACTTACTTACCTGGACAACTGATGCAACAGTCGATCCTTCCCGTGTTTGATATGTTATTTATTTGCCTGGAAAACTTATGAAACACTTCTTCAGTTCTCGTGTCTGATATGTTATTTCTCGGTGCCTGGATATCTGATGAAACACTCCTTCTTGTTCTTGATAGATTAAATATCGGTGCCTAGATACCTGATGATACACTCCTTCTCGTATCTGATATGATATTTCTCGGTGCATAGACATGTGATAAAACACTCCCTCTCGGGTTTGATATGTTAGTTATCGGTGTCTGGGCCATCAGATGAAATACTCCTTCTCTTGTTTGATAAGTTACTTATTGGTGCCTGCATATCTGATGAAACACTCCATCAAGTGAAGAGCAATTGTAACACTCAGATTTTCACTGTTTTGTAGGTATCCAGTTATTCTTTCCCTGGAGAACCACTGCAGTCTCCCAAATCAAAAGAAAATGGCAGAATATCTCGAAGCAATTTTGGGCGGTATCCTTTGTCGACTTGCAATATGTTGTACGCTTAATCATTGCATTCTTATAGATTTTTAAGTAAGTAAATCATTAATAAAAAGAGAATTGAAATAATTTGGATAATCTAAAAGAGGTGTTGGACGAGTGTATAGTAAAGCAGGTGAAGAACGAGTCTATACCAGTAGCACAGCAAGCACCCTCGAAAGATTGAATATATAAAATATTAACTATGAGGTCAATATTCTAGGGAATAATTATAACTTAGCCCCAGGACCCCACGCCGTTTCGTCGGCTGGGTGTTGACTGAATTTTTCTTGTAATCTGATCATTCGTCTCGCTGAGTCAGTCGATTACTGTTTTCACACCCTCCCTCCCACCCTGGGGGCTTCCCTTGAGTCCTCAGGGTCTCGGTTCCTTCTTTAAAGACGCCCAAGCAGATTCACTGGCTTGTTGTTTGCTGTCGTGCGCGGGGAACACGAGGGATAATTAATCAGATAAATAGAAGTTATATGTCGAATGAATGTGTAAACGAAAAGTTTGATTGATTATAAAGAAGGCAGGATGTTGTTCCTTGATTCAGATATCGCCTAGATATGTTGTACAAAGTGCCTGTAGATGCCCAGTTTGATTCTTTCCCATCTCCAGAATTCTTCAAGAACAGGATTCTTATTAAGGTACTGCATTGCATTTTCTCTTGATTCCAAACCAAACACTCGTACACGTACGTCTTTGTCTTTTGACTCTGGTTTGTGTTGTTAACAATTGACATTTTTCTTTTTAGTTTCGTCAAATGAAGATAGCGCAGGGCCTTTACAGTTGTCTCCGTGGCAACAAGTTGAACTCAGTCACAGCCCACCAGGGTAGTTTTCCTGACAGGCGCTCGGGTGGATGTCACGCATCGCTCCCCGTGCCTACGCGGCTGCTTTAAACCACAATCCACTTTCCATTGTTTAAGACGTTTTTATTTGGACCAATGAACGCCTTGTTATTGGATACGATGTACCAATAACAGTAAAGTTTTGCGTCTCGATGCCTTTTGCATCAATATGTTCTTTTTGTTTATTTGGCTTTCGCGGGGAAAACCCTGACTCCTCCTTTAACCGGCGAGGGAAAGGAAATCGTAACGTGACGTTGACCGAAGCTGTGGCTGTGCCACAATGGTGGAATTGATCACCCTCGATTGACTCGACCTGATAGTTGTTCTGGGCGTATCTTGCCTTGATTTCTAATGTAGGGTTTTATCACACAGGGCAAGAAATTAAAACCTGAACACGAGACTGATGACGAAGACGTCGGTGATGTAACGGATGAGGACGAGGCTGCTGATATCGATCAGGAGGCTGCAGCCGCTGTACTGCAGGAAAAGAGTGCTGAGGGCGGAGATGGACCCTCCACTACTGCGTCAACTACCACTGATACCCCGCCAGTGAAAAAGAAAGAGAAGAAGCCCAAGAAGGTAATAGTAGAGCAAGTTTAGGGCTTGACATTAAGTATATTTCTTAGTTATAATCTCACCGATTTCCCAACTGGATAGGGAATCGCAAAGCTGGCTCAAAGTTTCGATTATTCCAAGCTACCGTGTCAGCCTCCCTAACTACCAAATGATATGCGTCATGATCATGAATATGATCAGAATTCAAGCATTGACTTCTTTCCTCAGTAACTTGCTTTTTGCACGCAAGGGTAATATTCACCTCAGGGATTAACTCATAGACCAATCACGCGTAAGCATAGAGCTAATCAAATTCCTCGCGTTCTAAGTCTTTATTACGCAAGCATTATTCTTTAATTTGCTCTGATGAAAGGCTACTTCTCGAAACTTCAGCTTTTAAATCATTTCATGGTGGAAGATTGACTTTCTCAACTCATTTAATAAATAAAGGCGAAAAGGTTGCACAGGAATGTTAACATAAACAGAGTTATTGAACGGAACATAAATTATTTTACTTTGCCCGTAACTGAGTTTGTAAATTGTAACACTGACACTTGACTAACTCTTTTTCAATACTAACCCTTAAAACCAAGTACTTCAGACTAACACTTGTTTGCATATATAATTATTATTATTATTCATTCAAAATATTTCTCCGTTTGTGATTGGCTAAAATCACACGCATAATCCATCATAACCAGCTACTCGACAAAATTTGGAAGACTTTTGCCACATGTGAAAAATGACGTCAATTGTGTAGCATAATTGCCAGAAAACTGAACAGTTAACCGAGAAGACCTGGGACGAGGTTGAGTTGTTTTGGTAGTAAGTACAAAAGGCGGAACATTTCACTCATTTCACGAGGAAGAAATAGACGAACTATTGGCTAAAAACATAGCAAGGACAGCAAGAAGACAGCTCGACGGGCAACATCTGCTGTTTGGAGAATATTTGCAATACTAAACGACCCTTTATCTCCTAAACTTGCCAATAACCAGGCAATTGAAGATTAGCTTAACATCGATACAGGCTAGAACTAGGAATTATTTTGAATGAATAATAAAACGATTGTTGAATTCGGCTCTCGTAACATCTAAAGAATTATGGAGAGATCTCGGAGGGTGTTATCCGCCTCGCCCACCTTGATCTTCATAATTCTTCAGATGATACTCAGCCTCATCCAATAATTGTTAAATATCTTGATATTAAAACTCTAAACCTTGTTAATGACTCCTTTTTACTTCTAAACTTTAATATAAGCTGCTTTAAACTTTCCGATAACAATGGATCTAGCTAAGGGGCTTTTGGGGTCTTCCTCAGTCCCCCAGCCCATCCTTTAAGCACCCCTCGTATCTTAAGGTATGAATGAGCGAGTCCCAAACATACCTGAAGATCTGAATCCGCCATTGTTGCATGTATTTGTTAGGAAACTCTGCGCCGATCTTTTCGTGCCGTTGGTAAAGTGGTGCGTACCGCCGGTAGATTAAGAGATGAAACAGATGTAAGTCAACATAAATTTTTTAAACATTTGTAAATTTATTTAAAAAAGAATACTTAATTTTAAAATAATTTGTTCCACATCTAAACTTATAAAATGTAAATGTTTGCTTTCAACCAGGATTAACGTCTGAAGACACTTAAACTGCATTAAACTGCATGTTAAGATACACGAGAGTTTATTGTTAGCCGATTGAGTGCTAATACATGGGTTAACATAATACATAAACTTAGGAAATTCTAAAAGCGGAACTTCCGCTCAAGACTAACCTTCTATTTGAAACAATAATATTTAAATCAATGGGAGAAAAATAGAATTGTCCTTAACATTAATCTTTTTTGTACTTTAAGATTTTGTTCAAGGGAAAACAGACTGTTTACTTCAAATTATAAACACAATAATATGCTTAAANCATCTGCTGTTTGGAGAATATTTGCAATACTAAACGACCCTTTATCTCCTAAACTTGCCAATAACCAGGCAATTGAAGATTAGCTTAACATCGATACAGGCTAGAACTAGGAATTATTTTGAATGAATAATAAAACGATTGTTGAATTCGGCTCTCGTAACATCTAAAGAATTATGGAGAGATCTCGGAGGGTGTTATCCGCCTCGCCCACCTTGATCTTCATAATTCTTCAGATGATACTCAGCCTCATCCAATAATTGTTAAATATCTTGATATTAAAACTCTAAACCTTGTTAATGACTCCTTTTTACTTCTAAACTTTAATATAAGCTGCTTTAAACTTTCCGATAACAATGGATCTAGCTAAGGGGCTTTTGGGGTCTTCCTCAGTCCCCCAGCCCATCCTTTAAGCACCCCTCGTATCTTAAGGTATGAATGAGCGAGTCCCAAACATACCTGAAGATCTGAATCCGCCATTGTTGCATGTATTTGTTAGGAAACTCTGCGCCGATCTTTTCGTGCCGTTGGTAAAGTGGTGCGTACCGCCGGTAGATTAAGAGATGAAACAGATGTAAGTCAACATAAATTTTTTAAACATTTGTAAATTTATTTAAAAAAGAATACTTAATTTTAAAATAATTTGTTCCACATCTAAACTTATAAAATGTAAATGTTTGCTTTCAACCAGGATTAACGTCTGAAGACACTTAAACTGCATTAAACTGCATGTTAAGATACACGAGAGTTTATTGTTAGCCGATTGAGTGCTAATACATGGGTTAACATAATACATAAACTTAGGAAATTCTAAAAGCGGAACTTCCGCTCAAGACTAACCTTCTATTTGAAACAATAATATTTAAATCAATGGGAGAAAAATAGAATTGTCCTTAACATTAATCTTTTTTGTACTTTAAGATTTTGTTCAAGGGAAAACAGACTGTTTACTTCAAATTATAAACACAATAATATGCTTAAATTATAATATCATGACCACCAAAGTTAATCAATTCGAAGTTGAAATTGCGTTGAAAAAAAAAAAGTGGAATTTGAGGGAAAAACAAACTAGTGGGGAGATGTAAAATTACAAACTTTCTCAATTAATAGACCGTGAGCTGCCTTGTACAATTCAGGAGACAGTCGCCACCACCCAAATGATCAAAACGAGCGACCGATAAATAAGCTTATTTTAAAAGTAAACGTTTCTTTATAGGTCTGAGAAAAATCAAATCAAATGAATTAACACTGTGGCAAAAAAAAAAAAGGAGGTTGTTTTAAAAATCTCGTAACACCAAATCAAAAACAAATGACAGAATGAGCAGAAAAGGGAAGTTGCGCGTCTTATGTTTAAACTCAGGGCAACGTTAGCCAAGTCCTAAGCCAACATTATCACTTACTTCTCACTTAGGGCAAAATGTTGGCTTAGGGGAGGGGTAGGTGGGCAGTTTCCCAGAAACGTTTAATGATCCGTTATAAGTAAGTAAACCCTTAAGTATTAAAATAAAATCTCTTAAAAGTTTGGAAGTATATTAATTGCTTTTTACTTTCTAATATTTGGTCACACTTGGAGCAGGGTTAAACAGGTAATACAATGTAAAGAAAATACATTATCAAATCAACGACTCTAGTAATGAACAGTAAAAATTGATAATATTAACTTTTCAAGGGTGACACTTACAATTACTGATGACGTAGTGGCTAACATCGTGGCCCACACGTGAATAGAAGAAACAAATAGTCCAAATTGAGTATAACAATTGCAAGAATCGCAGCTGGCGGGAGGCAAACCAGTCGGTTGTTTTCAGCTCTACTTACTGACTAACGTTCCACAAGACTGAGGCTGCTACCATTAACGATCGATCCCCCATAATCTTTTTCGCAATATACCATTATTGTTTCGACGGAATTGGTGATGTGCAGGAGGCAAGATTGAAACTAAATTCCTATTCTAAATTATCATACTCTCTAATAATCCACTTTATTTTCTTGGTTTATTCGTCGTAACGCATTTATCATATGGGACCACTGTGACTTCTTTTTTCGGTGCTCTTCTGTATCATGCTTTGTAAGTAGTATTATATGGACCGAATTATCCTTTTTTGAGGTAAACAAACGTGGATCTTGTCCATGGGATTCCATGTATTATGAGAAGTGATCTTGCACTTTTAGCTGGGCGAAATGGTCATTAGTGTCACATGTCTTTGCCGACAGGAATCCGAACTCCTCATTGTTCCTTATTTCTAACGGTCTTTCTTATCCTAATAGGAGGAAAAGAATGGGAAGAAAACCAACAAGCTTAAATTGGCAAAAGAGCTTTCCCGCTGTGTAAACTATGTTTCCAGTGTTGGTTTCAAAGGATTTGAACACGCAAAGCAAAACTGTAAGTGGACAGAGAACAAAGCTTATGTGATTGACACGTTCGGAGACAAAATAGGCATGCGCAGTAGTAGGGAACAAATCGAGCGCGGGCAATCTCGTTCCCAGAGGCCGCGATCCTTTTGTACAGCGACGGGGATCACTGTACAAAAGTAACGGAGGCTCTGGGGGCGAGATTGGAGCGCGGGTCGAGACCTGCTATTTTTTTACACAACTTAGAAGAGATTGAATCAAATGGCTGTTCACACGTTCACACATGTTAGTTGAACCAAATCAAAAAAAAATTATTAAATGATACGTGAAAGTACGTCAAACCTAGCCTCAGACCTAGCCGCAGACATTCTTAGGCGTGCGTGGGGAAGGAACGCGTGACGCACGCCTAAGAATATCTGCGGGGGAGGCTACGTCAAACCAGTCTCTTTGCGAAACAAAGCAGCTCTAGTAAGTTGTACAAAAACAAACTCAGCAGAGTTAGTGTGAACCGAGAGCTTCTTAGGTACATAAGATGCAGACGTGCGTGTTCAACGTGTATTGGTAGGTTTTCTACCTAATAAACCCTTCAAAAAGGATGCGTTATAGTGACCGAAACCAAAATCACGGGTTAAACGTGTTTGGTTGGGTTTTGTACTTTATGCTCAGTAGCTGAAACTGAAAGATATTGTAGTTAAATAAAGAAACCCTTCGAAGATGATGCCTTACAGCAAGAAAAGGAAACCAAAATCACAGACCTCTGGCAGAGTATAAACCTGCTTACGGGCACTCTGGGTATTGTTACAAAACTTCTTGGAGTGTTTAACTGATGGAGATGATATGGAGCTGAAAAACAGTTAATAGGAAATATAGACTGGAATTAACTGCAGACACCGTCAAAAACACTGCTGTATAGAACACCAAATAACTGAAAGGACGCATAGCTTGAGATTGACACTTATCACTTTTTAACCCTTTAAGTCCCAATAGTGACCAAGATCAATATTCTCCTAACAATATCCATACACTGTCAAGAGATAAGTTATGAGAATTAATAAAATGATCACCTGAGAGAAAATGCCCTGATCTATCATCAAATTCTCTCAACTAATTTCTTAAGGAAATGTATGGAGACCAGTTTGGAGAATTTGTATGTGGATACTGGGGCTTAAAGAGTGAAAAGTAATACAACTAGCAGTGAGAAGCAACCTAATTTTTATGCGTGGACCATTTCACTCTTAAAACAGACAAATTTCATCAGATGTCTTCCTTCGTGGAGTCAAAGATGGCGAGCCTGATGACAAATTCAGGAAGTGATTTTGTGGAATATAATAAGAGGCAACTAAGCCGAATTTACCCAGCTGGTGGGAGAGTGGACTCCAGCAATTATAATCCTCAACAAGCTTGGAATGCGGGCTGTCAGATAGGTATGCGATGAACAGACGAAACTTATTCTTTTTGTATTTTTGTAGTAACCTCTGTATACACGTTTCCGCGTCTATTGTTATTCTCTACCAATCTTATTTTTTCTTTTTTTTTGTATTTTTTAAATATTTTAACCGTTTATTCCATTTTTCGTTAGCTTTTCTAGACCCTGATGAAGGTTATATTTAATTTTGCCAAACAGAAATATCGGGTAAATAGATTACCCATTCATAGCTGTCTTACAACATAATACATTTGATGCCGGAAAACATGATTTTTTAGGTTAACTCCATGTATTCCGGTCATTTGAACGGGCCTTTAACTACATTGTTCATTTTTTTTGTCGTTTTTCTGTTCTCCGTAGTTGCTCTTAATTACCAAACGGATTCGGAACCCATGCATCTGAACCAAGGCAAATTCAGAGTTAATGGACGCGCAGGATATATCTTGAAACCAAAACACCTCAGAGACCGTAAGTACTTTAAAAACATTAGTTTAGTGCAAATCAGTAAAATGCGCTGGAATTAAACATCATTCATCAGTGGGTGATTTATATACTTTTGATTGACTCTGTAGCTTCATTCAGCTTTAACCCTCATACAAAGACCGAGATTACAGGAATAGAGAAGATAAAGATATCTATAAAGGTATATTCGTTATGTCCCTCAACTGCTGGGCACTTACACAGCCTCTTTTTTCGTAGTGAAGTAGCGCTCTTTATGCATGGCTTTAGTATTGTATATGTGTAAAATTGTGTCCTTTTTATGTGTTATTTTGTGGTTTTGCTTTTCGCCTCGATTATCTATAAACCTACTCGCGAGATAGCCTCCGAACTGCAGACGTATTTCCGGTCGTCGACCGCTTTTCTCCCTCCAAAAATATCTTGTTTTACTTTCCGGAGGGAGAGATCGACGACCGGAGATAAGGTCTGTAGTTCGCAGGCTTCTCGCGGGAAGAAAACATCACTTTGTTGTATAACATTTAATCACTTCTAGAAATGAAATTACTGGTTTTATTTTTGTTGTACATACCAAGTACTGAGAAGCAAGTTGTAAAGCCGCAAACCACAAGAAATAAGTGCGTACATAGGCTAAAACATAGCAGTTTGCTTCTTCTTTTAATTGCCTCTATCGTCTAAATGTTGCAAGGCGCCTCTAAGGAAAATGATGGGTTTGCCCCAGTCTATACTTCACCAGGCTTTCTTCACGATTCAGATATCTCGTGTGTGTTTGAAAGGACAAATATGCGGCCTGTACCTTGAGGTAATGGGTAGAGACAATTATCGTGGTTTTGAAGTGTATGTGTTGAAAACCCCAAATAGATAACGTAGTTTTACGAAATTAATGACATTTAACCGGAAATCGTTGAATTTGATTGTTAGCATATCATTTTTTAGTATGACGTCATTTCCGTATTTGGAAAAAACTTTCTTTTTCATGAATAATGATGCAGTTCTTCACTTTTGTGTGCGATCGTGTAGACATGCCGCGTGTTTCTCTATATTTCATCTTGAATATATTCACAGGTCATTTCTGGTCAACAACTTCCAAAGCCTGCGGGAACTAAAGGAGAGGCGAAGGTCAAAGGAGAAGTATGTAAAGAAGATATATAGAAGAATAAATAGTCTGTCTTTCTATGCCGCTATTCCATAGTGGTAGGGACTTTTACCATGTAGAAGGCATGTCAGCGTAATTTGAGCGGCAAGGAGAGACTTATCCCGTACCCACTGATTTCACACCTGTAACCGTGAGAGATTTGGATACTTTCTTCTTATTTCTTCTGCATACCATTTCGAACCATTGCTACCTATTTCGTCCTTCTCCTCTCCTCACGCTAGCTTTTTTCTTCCGAATTTTCTTCTTTCTTTACTGAAAATTATCACTAACGGTTAATGTTTCTTTTTTTGACCCTGTTTATTCACGTACGCTTTCGCTTTTTTCTCTCGGGTTCGTTCGTCCTACCTACTCCACCACCCTCGCCCTTTTCATCGCGTGATTGACGTTTTTCCTTGTTTTGCCTTTCAGGTTATTGATCCGTATGTTAAGGTGGATTTTCATGGTATACCAGCAGATACTGCCAGCTTTAAAACAAAAGTCGTCAAAGATAATGGTGAGCAGATTCAATTGATAGCTCATCGATACACCGTTCATAGAACTTGTCCTCTTTGCTCTTACTCTCTAGGTGTACCTATTTCGCAAACTTCCGGTAAGGTGTTCATTGTCTATTGTAATATACTAGCACATTCTACGCTAGGATGTCTTAAGTTGATTTCCACTTGTTGCTGTTTTGTTTTTATGTAGGTTTTAACCCAATGTGGAAGGAAACATTTGAAAAAGAGCTTCTTATGCCAGAGCTCGCTATGATTAGGTTTGTGGTTTTTGACGAAGACGTTGGTTCTCGTGACGACTTCATTGGACAATTCTCGTTACCCTTTACCAGCGTTAGACCGGGTATGTTACTCTACCTATGATCCTTATTGTATTGCTTAAAATACTGAAGGTCTAATGGTATCAAGTCTTATGATATTAGGGAGCTTAAGCAACAACGACGGCGGCGGCTGCGAAAACGTCACTTAAAACTGAAGTGAATTCGCGCTACTTTAAACTTTATCGGGCTTATTCCACCTCATTCAATTCGTCAAATGTTGGCGAATTTTTCTGGAGTTGAATTCTAAAGGACTGTATCGAAGTTTAGGAAAAACAAAGTCGTTGTCTTGTGTTCACGTCCTCCAGAAAACGTGGAATTAGGCAGTTTCACGTAGTGGTGGTGCAACGACGGCAAGCTGGAAAGTACAAAAAAGTGTGAGTTGTTTTTTTGCTAACATAAACCTGTTGCTTTTTTTTTTGCCGTTCTCGTTGCCGTCGCCGTCGTCGTTACTTAATTAAGTTCCCTATTGTCAGGATAATACGGTGGATCCAAAACCCCCTCTCCCCCTCTCCCCCTCCTTATTCGCGCCATGATTAAACATTGCTCCAACTTGTTAGTTGAATTAGTATAATTGCACTTGCCGGACCACCAGCGCCAAAACACCCTCTAGTAAAATCATTATAGCTGTAGTTAAGTAATTTTCTTAGTTCAAGTGATAATGATATCCTCTTACCCGGATGTCTTTAGGGCGTCGTCATGCGTTTCTTCCCCACGAACGCCCTTTAGCCTTGATTGCATTGTTAGGAGGTGACGTTAAGCTGTTGGCGTTGTCCTCTTCATTCTTCCTTCGCGGTTTATGCAGACGGGATTTAAAAGAAACCACATTGCTCTTTAAGAAGTTAAGCTTGCTTGGCCGACCTCTGTAATCACTTTAATTCCCATGTAAAGTGAGCATAAAACAGTGAGACCATAAATGAACTTAAAGTGGCATCCACAAATGCCCTCTTTGCTGAGAGAGATAAATTAAAAAATAATGTTAAGTGTGTTGTCTGCTCCTTCTACTTTCCTTTCCATTTTTTTCCCATCAATTTGGTATCGCAAGATACGTATTGTTAATATTGGTTTGCTCTTTTCGTTTCCTAGGATACAGGCACATTCATTTGTTAGGCAACAAAGGAGAGTCGCTAGGCTATGCATCTCTATTCGTTCATATCAATATTTGGGGTGGGTCCAAACCCAACAAGTCCTCCGACAGATCCTCGCTTTCGGTAAGATTGCAATTTGTTGCTGATATTGCTGTTTATCAGGATATAGTTATTTTACTGCGATAAACCGATGTTTGTGAGGTAAGCCCGCGCCCGCTCAGCCCTTCGCCTTTCTCCCCCTTTCTCTCTCCTATACGAAAGCCGCGCGCGAATGAGCGGCTCGAAATCGATCCTTAGTATAAATGGAAGACCTAAGGACTAAAACCGAGTGTAGCATGTTAAAAAAGAAAGAAAGAATCTAGCTGCACACGAATGACAACGCGACCCGCCTTTTTAATGTGCCATTGCTCACTCTATATCACACCTTGAGACATCGACCAGTTTGAATAACAGCCACCGATTCTTTGTTAAGACTCGTCGTCATCTATTGTTTTATTCGGTGTAATGGCAAACTGGACGCTGTAAGTACATGTCGCGAAAGATAAAAGGATTCTGGGCGATGTAAGCACTTAGTCTCCAACTTTTGCAACTGGACAGAAGTGCTCTTCTTGGACTGCACCCAGATATTCAAATTTAAAAAGCAGTGACACCTCTTTAATTCGGACACCTGAGGGACAAAGCTAAGTGTCCCCATTGCAGAGGTGTCTGTATTTTAGAGGTAAGGAATGTTTGAAGTTCGACAACTTTGGGAAAAATAATTGTTTGTATTTTAGATATGTTCGTGAGTAGAGGTCCGACGATATGAGTAAGGAATCAAAGCCTTCCCACCTAGCTCCCCCCCCCCCCCCCCCCCCCCCCCCTCCCCCATCTTCTACGCGGGCTGCGCAGTGCATACAACTTTAATTTAAAAAGTCCCTTAAATCCCCATACTGACGAATAATTATCTTTCCATGTTGTTGTTTTTAGGAAGCGGCCTCTCCAAGGATCTCATCCCATTATAATTGATGATTGCAACATTTATTCCAGTCACAAGCGGATGTTTAGCACTGGAGTTTTTAAGCGTCCTGCTGTTTGGTTGCGCGCTGATAGTTCATTTCGAAGATGGTAGCCATTTGAACCGACCAAAGACAACGCAAACACAAGCGCAATGATAGAAAACCCGCCCAACAATTACTGAAAGGACATGCACCAAAAAAACATTTTTGTGGAATCCAATGCAATCCTTGCTAGAAAGACTGAAATGAAATAAAATAACGAAAGTAAAAACTACATAATATTTAATGTGAATTAAATCCGCAGCGACAATGCCAAAAAGTAGTTTGGTGCGTTGAAAGGAAAATAATTATCATTTTATAATTGTTCCGCGGATATTTTGTGGGTTAAATTTGGTTTAGCTAATATTGGGTCGTTAATACTACAGTTGAAAGCTGAAACGACGACGTTACTGAGGGGGGGAGGGGGGGTACATGCTACACAAGTAAATAATAATAATAAAAAATTAATGAATTGTCATCTGCAAATTTACCTGCGCAATAAATAGTGATCAGTAAGGCATGCTGGTTGTCACTTAAGGATATTTTACTGAAAGATTTTTGTTCCGAATCTGGGGCTTCTTTGTTTATTTTAATTTAGCTGGTTGTATAACCACACAAAAAAGTCTCGGGATAGAATTTTGGATGTATTTGGTTACACTTCTTTGTCGTATAATAATAAGAATATGTGAAGGAGTGGTAATCTGATGAAATTGCAAAATGATTCATATTTGCACATAATCTGTATTTCGATGCTAGAATTGCCATTTTTTATTTTATTCATTTTTATTTTATTAGCTTTGCCCTGAAGAATACAAAAAAAAACACTCTAGATATGCAAACACTAGTAATAATAACGTAACAATACACTAATAATAACTTAAATATTAGGGCAGGGACAGCGCAACAGCTAAAGCTAATTAGTGCGGACCCAACATTTACCGTAAGTTAAACCAAAAGCTTAAAAATGTTTTAGACGTAGCTATAGGATATGGCAAGATTTTCATATCTGTTGTTATAATCCATTTGAGATGTGGAAGATGTGAATGGATAAAAACCTTAAGAGCAAAGTACGGACATTGGTCAGGATGACACTGTATACTACAGGTTTCATCATCAGTAGCAATCCAGCTAAGCATGCAGGGAATTTTTGACTGAAAATTGGCATGACTACTTTCACTATTGAAGCCGCCCCACGTACAGAGTCTAATGGTCTACTAAGTACAATATTAATCAATGCCACATAGCAATATCCTGCCACCGGACTACTTCCGTTTTAGTCACAGTTTTTGGAAGAGAATCATGTCTCAACGGCAGAGTTTTTTTTTGAACAACTTAAAATTATGGTCTTGTACACTAAATGGCAGCACTAGAATATTTGGAGTAAAGATTCTTTCAATTTTTTTCTGTTGCTATATTTCTGGAAGGAAATTGTTTCAAGGCAACNTTATTAGCTTTGCCCTGAAGAATACAAAAAAAAACACTCTAGATATGCAAACACTAGTAATAATAACGTAACAATACACTAATAATAACTTAAATATTAGGGCAGGGACAGCGCAACAGCTAAAGCTAATTAGTGCGGACCCAACATTTACCGTAAGTTAAACCAAAAGCTTAAAAATGTTTTAGACGTAGCTATAGGATATGGCAAGATTTTCATATCTGTTGTTATAATCCATTTGAGATGTGGAAGATGTGAATGGATAAAAACCTTAAGAGCAAAGTACGGACATTGGTCAGGATGACACTGTATACTACAGGTTTCATCATCAGTAGCAATCCAGCTAAGCATGCAGGGAATTTTTGACTGAAAATTGGCATGACTACTTTCACTATTGAAGCCGCCCCACGTACAGAGTCTAATGGTCTACTAAGTACAATATTAATCAATGCCACATAGCAATATCCTGCCACCGGACTACTTCCGTTTTAGTCACAGTTTTTGGAAGAGAATCATGTCTCAACGGCAGAGTTTTTTTTTGAACAACTTAAAATTATGGTCTTGTACACTAAATGGCAGCACTAGAATATTTGGAGTAAAGATTCTTTCAATTTTTTTCTGTTGCTATATTTCTGGAAGGAAATTGTTTCAAGGCAACTTTTTTTGATCGATCATTAATTTTGTATGTAACATTATTAGTTCTTGATAAGTTTATAAGAACAGTACTTTATAGAATGAAATTTGTTTCATTAAAGAGGTGCAATTTTATATAACAAACGCTCGTGGCCTATTGTGTCATTTGTGGATTGTCTATAATTACTTTGTTCGTCTTTGTTAAGGGACGTCAGGAGCCCATCATGGGCTCCTAAGGACCACCACCATTAGAAAAGTTATGGATTGGCTTTGATAGATTGTGCCAGCATAAAATTGAGCCTGATTCGTCACTACGATACATTTCCTTTATTTTATGAGAAAAGCACTGCCAGCTGTAGCTTAATTTGCACTTTTGGCTAGAGATCAGTCAGTCGAGGTGGCTCGACTGGATTTTTTAGGGAGTATACTTCCCCACTTTGAGCGTTTACCACGTCGAAATTAAAAAAGTTATAGGAAAAAGGTTACCACAGCTGCACTATATAAAGATGAAAATTTGTTATGATCCATGTTTCATTGACACCAGAGTTACCATGGCAACATAATGACGACATTACGTTTTTTACTTGCTTTTGCATTTCTCGGTGCTAGGAGGTTTTTTTTAGAAATCGCTTAAGGGAGCTCGTACCTCCCTTACTTGTCTCGGTTGTGGCAAAGTTTGAACAAATTCTATGAGAACGTTTCGGAAATAAATTTTCAAGGGTCGTAAAAACAGTGAATAAACATTCCATCGACATAATTAGCTAATATCTAAAGAAAATGATGAGGTCTGGAAATGCAGTTTCATCTCATAGTGGTTTGATTCCATCTGAAACTTTGTACGAAAAAAGAGGGGGAATGCTTTGGCAGATTGCGAGAAAGAAAAGTTTGATTAGCCTACGTTCGGCTGCTATCTTTACTATTTTTGTAAGTAACTTGGTCCACGCCTACAAACTTCACGGTTATTTAAAAACCGATCGATAAATGTTTTTAAAAACTTAACAATCTCGAGATTAATGATCAATTTACATTTCCGCTAAATTTCAAGGACAAAAATAAATACAAAATATAATTCGTAATATAAAATAAGTTAATATATTGGTTTTACAGGGTGTCCCAAAAGTTCGTTCCTCTACTTTATAACACTGTAATGTAGTCCGATTGGACTTGGTAAGCAAATCGCTTAAACAAAAGTCGTGTTTTACTATATAATTTAATATTTTATACTTGGTGTGCCATCTTGTGACTCTAATATTCGATTTGTGTACTTCGCGCCAAGAAAGGTGCGCGTGTGCAAGTACATTTTCCCGCCACATATTTTTCGTATTCTGTAGCCCAATTTGCTCAAACTCCTTCCTTAAATTGTGTTTTGTGAATATCACGAAAGAAAAAACCCTCTAAACGCAAAAACGTTCAGCTACATGAGAGCATAAGCACGTTTACTTCGATTTACCGGCTTATCAGTAGAAATAACTGCTAAAAAACTGGAAAAATCCGAATGTTGGGTTGGTGAAATGTTCATCGAGAAATGAAGGTTTTGAAGAAAAAAAAAAAGGGGAAGACTGACAGTCCTGAATAAAACGGCTAAAATAGTTTTGAAGAAGGTTAGCTAGGTATTAAAGAGACTACTCAGTGAGATAGCTCTCACGATAGTTAGCAAGCCAAGTCTAGAGCAGTTTCATGAAAAGCGAAGGTTAGAGGCCCCAAAGATGACAACAAAACCTCTGCTTAGTCTGCCAAACACGATCAGCTCGTCTCAGATTTGTAAGTAAGTAAGTAAGAACTTTATTTTCGCACGATAAAAAGATCAGCATTGCTGGTGGGGTCGTGCAAACTAACAATTACAAGAAAAATAAGAAGTACTAAAAGCAAATGCACGATTAAAAATTAAAAACTGTTAAAAATGTTTAAAATAGGTCCTGAAAATGTACAATTAAAAATTAAAACTGTTAAAAGTAGTCGTAGCCGATATCTCTATTTTTAGTAGTAGCTAAGATTGGTTCGAGATGCATTTTATCGGTATCAAATTTTACAAGACAGCGTTTAAATTCTTTCAAGGTTTTGGCCCTTGTTTCCTTGTTCGTTAAAGTATTCGATGCGATTGCTTCTCTAAAGCGTATAGAGTTCCTGATAAAATTTGTTTCACGTCTTGGAAGAATGATGTTCTCATTTCTTCTGCAGCCTGAATTCCTCTGTAAAAGCAAATCTTTAAATTCCGTGACGGTGTAACCTTTTAAACACTTGAAGACAAACTCCGTTAGTCGCAGTTTGTACATTGTTTCCAGACTATCCCATCCAGTTCGCATTAAGACATCTTCAGCGCTGGTGTCCCA